TCCCGAGGGGCCGGACGTTTTGCTTCTCCCCGGGGTTAGTTTCAAGAAGGGGATGGTTCACCACCTCGCAGGGGCTCTGTGTGGCCCAGGTCCAGGCAGGGTCCCTGTAGCTTTCGGCCAGCGGATATCACACTGGCTTTACTGCAGAGCATCCTCAAATCCCATGAGACAAACAGCTCAGTGCCAGCGAGCCGGGCAGTGGCGAGAGGCAGGAGGAGACGCACTGGAGCTGGCTCAGGTTTTTCTTTCCGCTGTTAGAGCGATTCCCTCCCTCTGCAGCACAGCCAGCCTCTCCCGGGGGGTTTATTGCTGTGCTGTTTGCTGATTTTTCTTGATTAACGCTGAGCCATGTGGCTCTGCAGATCCAAAAAAGATGCTGCAGCCCTGGCAAGCCAAGGTCTGGGCTCACGGCTGCGTTCCTGCGCCCAACAGCCTGAAACACATTCCGTGGGAGCAGGGGGCACATGGCGTGGGGGAAGAGGGGGCTCTGGGAGCGTGCAAGGGGGGTGAGACCTGGATTAAAGGGGCAGGGGAGCAGGCTGGTGCATCCCCCACTCTGGTCTGGGGGGGTACGGAGGGGATACCGCAGCAGGGAGGGGTGTGGGAAGGGCAGCGGGGGCTTTGGGATGGGGACATCAGAGCATTGTCACAGACTGACTGCATCCCTCTGGCAGCAATCGGCCGAGCGCTGCGTCAGCACCCTGCTGGACCTCATCCAGACCAAAGTCAACTACGTGGTGCAGGAGGCCATCGTCGTCATCAAGGACATCTTCCGCAAGTACCCCAACAAGTAAGTACGCGACAGCGGCTGCCCGCCAGCCCTGGGGCTCAGGGGGATGCTGCTGGTCCAACGCGGGCTCTTCATGCTCCCCTGTGCATGGGGTGGGCCCCCACAAAGAGCCAGGCGTGGGCGAGGGACAGGCGGCTGCTCCTCCTGGTGGGACGGTTGGTGTGAAGCCTCCCTGCAGCGGAGGTGGCTTTGGGTTTTTTTGCTAGTTGGGGTTGCAATCACTAGGCAGGAGTTAAGCTGGGGACAGGAAAGGTGTCCCCAGCCCTATGACGGCAGTCCCAGATCCAGACACCCAAATGGATGGGAGCTGCTAGAGATGTTGAGGTCCCTCAAACCATCTCTAGCTCTTAATTCAGCGATCGTGATGCTGGAGCGAGGGAAGTGTTCCAGCTGAGCCAGGATTAACAGGCACCTGCGTGAGGAAGTTGTGTCCTAATGGCAGTAATAAACACTAATGAGCTGAATTAGTAACGAACAGGAGCTCTGCAGGAATAGCCGGTGACTCAGGGCTGCTGCAGGGAGGACAGAGAGCGGCGGGGGGGGGGGGGGGGGGGGCGAGCTGGGGCCAGCGAGAGATCGGCGTGGGCAGCACCAGGTTGTGCCACAGCCCTGGGGGCAGGGGACAGCCCCACGCAGGTGGCAGGGTCTCTTCCCGGTGCCCTCGGGGATGTCCTGGTTCTGCTGAGGGTGATGGGACGTGGTTTGGAATTAAAGAGTGGAGCTGGGGCTCGGTTTCTTGCTTTTGTTGAACGTTTGTCCTCTCTTGGGAAGGTACGAGAGCGTGATCGCCACCCTCTGCGAGAACCTCGACTCCCTGGATGAGCCCGAGGCGCGGGCTGCCATGATCTGGATTGTGGGCGAGTACGCCGAGCGGATCGACAACGCCGACGAGCTGCTGGAGAGCTTCCTGGAGGGCTTCCATGACGAGAGCACCCAGGTGGGGCGAGACGGGGGACAGCCCCCCACGCCGTGGGGAGGTCTGGCTGCCAGCGGGTTGAGGGGTGACGCTGTGACAAAGCTTGTGCTAACTGGAGTGTAACGAAGCAATTTGCTCGAGCAGGATTGCGATGGTGTTTGCCTTGCAGGCACTCGGGGCAGCGGTGTCCCGCAGTGGCTTTGGGTGTTGAATGTGACCCATGAAATGCCACCATGGTGGTGTCCCAAGATCTTCCCTCCTTAATAGCTGGGAGGGACCCCCGGTTGCGTGGTCGTTCCTCTGCGTCAGGGCAGGATCAGCCCTTTGGAGCTGGAAAACAGAGTTAGATGGACAAAATGAGTGGAGGGACCATGCTGGACCCTTCTGCTGGGGCAGTTTGCCTGTGGAAATTTTGGGGGGTTTCCATCCATGGAAACTTCCTACAACCCACTGTGCAAAACACCGTGAAACTAAGTCATGGTGAACAGGGGAAAGTCTAGAAATACAAATAGCAAAGCCAGCGATGCTGGCCGCCCTGTCTCGGGTCTAACGGGACTGTCGGAGGGGAATCGCTGCGGCTGGTCCTCGTAAATTCAGAGGATGCTCTGGTCTTCACCCTTGTGGGACCGTGTAACCCAGTCCTGAGATCTTGCCCAGTACCCTCGGTGTCAGCCTGTGGCTCTGACGGGCCGAGGGTGCGGTATCGGCTTGAACTGGGCTGCAGAGCTGGCTGGGAGCCACGCTGGGTGGCCTCACACTTGCCACCACCGCTCCGGCCATCACCCTGAGTTTGATCCCTTGAAAGGAAGGTTTGGGGTTATGTCCTGGCAGCACCTAGGGGAAAAAATTCACATTCTTGCCCAAAAAATGGAGTGAGCTGTCCATCTGTCTGTCCCTAACCCTGCTGGCCTGCCCGCAGGTCCAGCTGCAGCTGCTGACGGCCATCGTGAAGCTGTTCCTGAAGAAGCCCACCGAGACGCAGGAGCTGGTGCAGCAGGTGCTGAGCCTGGCCACGCAGGTGGGTGACGGCTCCCGTGCAGGAGAACAGCTTCCTGTGGGCTTCGCTGTCCCCTGAGGCAGCGGGAATGGCTTGGGAATGCTGCACCTGGGATGGGAGGTGGATAATGGAGCTTAATTCTGGAGAAGCTGATAGAAAAATCCTGGAGAGGGAGGACACCATCTCCCGTAGTGCAGGAGGCGTCTTGCGCTGTTTCCTGGCGAAGGCTGGTGCAGCACAGTGGCGTAGCCTCTGTCCACACATCAGCAGCTTTAACTTTTATCCCTGTGATTTTTGTGCCAATTGACAGGGTTAGCACAAAGGACACAGGCACCAAATTAAGGAAGTAAACTTATTTTTACTTATGTTTAAAGTGATTAAATAGTGAGGAAAAAATACAGTGAAAATAAATTAAAGCAAGGTAAGGTAAAGCAGCGAAATAATAAGCGAACTACTACAGCAAGCATAAAATAAGGTAATGCACCTAATCATTACTACATAGAGTTAGCGACAGTGATTAAGAAAGATCCATCACCAATTGCCCTATTACCATCATCCAGATCCGCAGTCGCTGGGGAGCCCGGTTGCAGCGAGGATTTGGAGAGAACCCTTCCCGGCAATTGGGAAATCTCTATACAGTGCGTCCACTGCATAGATGAGGCTTCCAAATTTCCCTGCAAGCGTTCCCTGCTTTTATACAGTTGAAAAAACAACTTTATATCTTGAACTGCGAAAGAAAACATCTGGTGTGGTTTTCTTCTTGTTAACTTCTGTCTTGCGCCTGGCCAGAGCAGGAGAGGGGAGATAACAAGAGCAAAATAATTTGGTAATCTTGATGATGTACCTCTCAACAAAGTCGGTCATGACTTGCCACATTGTTTTACTTAGAGGCTTATCTGTTTCTGACAGGTGAGGTTATTGTTACACGATTAGTATCCTTCTGCTGATGTACACAGCAGGCGTTACAGCAGTGCTCTATAAGCGTTACAACAAAACTTTTATAAACTGGCATAAGGTTATACCTTGCATATGTGATCAATGTTCTACATATCAGATACATTGTTAGGTTGGGAGGTTCATCTAGAGATCAGCTTTGGTTCAGGGCCTCACTGCTCAGCTCATAATATTTCAGTGATATCGCTAATACCACAGCAAGACTTGGATGGAGCCAAGATGCTCCGAGTTGCTCTGTAGTAGCTGCATCTTCCCCTGCCCCATGGCTCCGGTGCTAACCCCCTGCTTCCCGAAGGACTCCGACAACCCCGACCTGCGGGACCGCGGCTACATTTACTGGCGCCTGCTCTCCACCGACCCGGTGGCCGCCAAGGAGGTGGTGCTGGCGGAGAAGCCCCTCATCTCTGAGGAGACAGATCTGATCGAGCCCACGCTCCTGGACGAGCTCATCTGCTACATCGGGACGCTGGCCTCCGTCTATCACAAACCTCCCAGCGCCTTCGTGGAGGGGAGCAGGGGTGTCGTGCACAAGAGCTTGCCCCCGCGAACGGGCTCGTGAGTATCTCTGCCCTCCCCACAGTGACTCCCCGCCCTGGGATGGGACTTCCAGGGCTGAATCTGTGTGGTGGGGGGGGTGGATGCTGAGCCCAGGCTGCCATGGCCATGCACAGCGCTGCGCAGAGCTGGCTGTGTCCCCTGGGCTCGGAGCTGAGCGCCTCTGCCCCAGGGGAGGTTCCCCAGCAAGGGCAAGGCTGGATGGGTTCATCATCTCTGACCTTACAAGGCTGAAGGAGGGATCTGAGATCTCGAGGAGAATGTGTTGAAGTGCTGGGACAGGGAGTCTCTCTGAAGGCTCACTGGGTGACCCCCGTGTCTCCAGTGGGACCTGCGGGCCCTGCCGGCTCGGCCGGAGCTCCTCAGCATCTCACGTCTCTCTTTCCCCCTTCCTCCAGGAGCGAGAGCGCCGAGAGCCCCGACACAGCCCCCTCGGGGGTGCAAGCGGCGGAGCAGCCG